CAAAAGGTCCAAATCAGCTTGTGTCCAGTTAACTATACCAGCTGTGTATCTTATAACTGGTATTGCCCAGGTATTTATGGCCTTGATTATAATAATAATAATATTTATTATTATTATTATTTATTATTATTATTATTATTAAATTGAAGGCTCTAAAGTTTGAAGCAGGAATAGCCTTGTTCACATGTAACATTTATGTCCTAATTGCAACATTATTCTCCCCTAAAGTAGAGTTTTAATTTTAAAACTCCACACACACATAAATTTTCCTCCATGAAATGTATGAATTATTGTGCACTAAAGAGTTATGTTCAAGGAGAATTAACCAAGGAATTTCTCCATCACAGTTAACCATCATATAGAAAAATGACGTCAATTATACAAGTTGATGTTGATGTTTGGTTTACAATGGGGAGATCAAAGGTCATGTACCAGGGATTCTGACAGGTTCTGGAGAACCAGTAGCGGGAATTTTGAGCAGTTCGGACCACCTCTGACTGGCCACAGAGTGAGGAGGGAATGGAGATTTTGCAGTATCCTTACCCCAGGAGTGAGAAGGGAATGGGAATTTTGCAGTATCCTTCCCCTGCCACGCCCACCAAGCCACGCCCACATAACTGGTAGTAAAAAAAAATTTAAATTTCCACTGCCATGTACCTATGAGAGTGCCAATGACTACAGCATAGCTTGCTGTTGAGTTTTCTGTGTTAATCATGATTTATTGTTGAATTTTTGCCTAGATATTTATATTTGAAAACAACATCTACTATTGTGCCCATATCGGGAAACAAGCAATCCGTGTCGTCTCCACTGGAAAGGACAAAGTGATTTTTAACGGACTCAGCGATTGGCTGTATGAAGGTAAGATGAGAATTGAAAAGTTGGCTAAATGCTTAATGTATTTCTAAGGTGACTCTTTCACGTTACTAGAAATTACATGAAATAGTTACAAGATAGGAAGGGATTCTGGTCCAATTTCATATGACGACAGCTCTGATTCAAATTATGTAAAAACTTTTAATGGGATAAAGTCTACACCCTTCTAAATCCCTCTCTTTCATTGCCTTGCAATTTTTACCATTAGGGCTAACTCTTAGTCAAAATCATTATTTTTTTATTTTGAAACAGAATGACAGAAAACAACTTTGTTCCATCTTCAGTATGACAGCTATTCATAACACCTCTCAATCATGTTGTATGTATGAGATACATTCAATTCTTCAATTTTTTTTCTCATAGTTTTCTCTCCAAACTTTTTCTTGCTTGCTCGCTTGCTTCCCTTCCTTCATTCCTTCCTTCCTTCTTTCCTTTCTTTCCTTTCTTCTTTCCATCTTTTTCCTTCCTTTCTTTCCTTCTCTCCCTAAAAGCACACACTCAAGAACAAACATTGTACAGATTACCAAGTACATGTTCATCAGCTATTAGAAGTTATGATCAGTGGTGGGATCCTCCCGGTTTAACAACCAGTTCGGTGATCTTCAAGCTTCGGGCATGTGGGCAGTTTGAAGAAATCTTCATTTCTGGGTTTCTTCGGAGGAGTAACCCAGCCAATTTGTGCCACAATCTGCTCTGTTAAAACTACTTTATTACATTCTGTCTATTATAGGGGAAACTTCCCAGTTTGGTAGCCTACTTTTGGGAACAATTAGATATGACTCTAAGGAACTTGGGTGGGGGGGAATAATACTAGCCCTTTTGCAGTGCACAGTGATTCCAGACTAACTCTGCTTCGCTCCCTGGGTGCTTCTCAACAAGGGATGAGGGACTGTGACTGATCCAAAGTCACCCAGTGAATCCCAAGATTGAGTAGGAAAAAGATCCGGAGTTGATGGAATCTGCAACTGAAAGGGGGGGGGGGGTGTCAGATGTCCTGAGCACTTTGCCAGCGAAAATGGGCTCCCGAGCTCCGTTTTCGGCTGTGACAGCTTCCTGCAACCCTCTGCCAGTAAAAATGGCAGAGTTCCTGGAGCTCAGGAGGGCCGTGGGCCGGTCCTTCGCTGTTTCAAGGGCAGCCCCATGGGCCAGATCTAAGCACCCCGCAGGCCGGAACCGGCCTCTGGGCCTTGAGTTTGATACTCCTGTAATAGAATGTGTGGATGATTTCGGAGGACAAGGAAAAGAGATGCTGCCTAGGGCCGTGATGGCTAACCTTTTTGTCATTGCGTGCCAAAAGCACACATATGTGCAACAGCATGCATGCACACCCGCACCCATAATGCAATGTGCACATGACCCCACCCCACCCTCTGCACATGCATGCACGACCCCCTCGCGTTCCCCCCACATGCATGCATTCCCCTCTCCCCACGCTACATTTTGGGCCTAGTCGGCCTCCCTGCAGCCTCCTGGGAGCAAAAATGGACCATGAGGGGTCCATGCAGCACCTCCACGCCCCCCCCCACGCATGCACAATACTCACCCTAAGTGTGCGTATCTCTTGCACATGCCCCGCCCCCGTGCATGCATGACAGAACCCCAAAATCAGCTGGCTGGTGGGAAGTGCACACTTGTGCATTGGAGCTGAGCTGGGGCAACAGCTTGCGTGCCCACAGAGAGGTCTATGCGTGCCATCGGGTCACCATCACAGGCCTAGGGTAATGATCAGACAAGAGAAGGAGAAGGCGTCAGGGGCTTAATAGTCAAAGAAATAAATTTAAGAAGGACCCACCCACCCTAATGGATTAAGTAGTTAAAAGTGGCATCTTGGAAGAGTCTGTTAATGTAAACTTTCAATAAAGTACTGTTTTCTGTTTGGTTTATCCAGGTGGGCTGATACTTTACAGTCTATTACGGTTAGTTTTAATCTTCTGCGGGCTTCAGGCTTCCACATCAAAATATCTAAATACCTTGGAAAAGGTTGGTGCCCCAATCTGAAGACGGCGCTATTGAAAGTTAGATAATGTGTCCGTTTCCATTTCACTTGCGATCGGTTTTAATTAAGACATGCCCTCACTCGCAACTTTAGGGTGGCTGTTGCTTTCTTCTTTTTGGAGTGCCAGGATGGATTTGCACGCAGTTGTTAAGCGATGATTGTGCTGTCAGCAGAGAAGCCCTTGTGCTTGCAGAAAGGCCATTCTGGATCAAATATGGCAGATGGCCCTTTCGTATCTGCTTATAGAGTTATAATGCAATGCCAAGTTATGTTTCCAGCTACATGGCCTCTCCTTTCGCCCATCAATCAAACGCTGCTTTGCATAGCCAGATCACGAAGCTTCTTTCGGCATTTCTTGGAAGATGAGGTGAAGGGGCAATATGAATAAATGGAATAACGTGTCAAGATTGTCATGTTTTTCAAAACACCCAGGCCATGCTTTCAGCTCCCTCCTTTCCTGCTGGAGTGAATGTCTTCCCCGCTCGAGAGGAGAGACAGTATCAGCTGGTTGGTTTAGAACTTGAAGATGCTCTCCTTGCATGGTGAGGGGCAAGCTAATTGTCCCCATAAAGCAGTGTAATAAAGGAGTGAATAGGCAGTTCCATGCTGAGATGGATAAATAGCCTTCTTCGTCTCAACTCACAAGCCATTGAGGTTGGAAAGCCTCAAAATAAGATATACCTGTTTTAGAAATGCAGAGACATATACCTGCCTATCCTGACTTTTTCTGTATATAAAAAATGTCTGTGTGTGTGTGTGTGTGTGTGTGTGTGTGTGTGTGTGTGTTCGAGCATAACAATTTTAACCAAACTTGGTACATAAATGACTTACTCTCTGGAAACAAATACTGTGTGGGGTAAGACACCCCTAACACCCCTCAGGGTGTGTATTCAGTAAAGATACAGCCTCTTGTACCTTAAAATGGCTTCTTCTGTACAATGCTGTGGAGTTGCTGTGGTAACAGCTTCACAGTACTCCACAAGGGGGCTCCCTCTGGTAAGGGGGAAAATCCAACATTAGAAATTGCGGCAACATTAATGGAAGGAGGGTTGGGATGAATAAATACCCAGGCAGTGTCAGTTATCAGCTTTGGTCACCACATTATAAAAAGATGTTGGGACTTTAGAAAGAGTGCAGAGAAGAGGAATAAAAATGATTAGGGGTCTGGAGATCAAAACATATGAAGAATGGTTGCTGAAATTGGGTATGTGTAGTCTAGTGAAGGACCAGGGGAGACATGATAGCAGTGTTCCAATATTTGAGGGGCTGCCACAGAGAGCAGGGGCTCAAGCTATTTTCTGAAGGACAGACAAGCAACAATGGATGGAAACTGATCAAGGAGAGATTCAACTTAGAAATAAGGAGAAATTTTCTGACAATGAGATCCATCAACCCATGGAACAGAAGTTGCCTTCAGAAGTGGTGAGAGCTTCATCATTGGAAGCTTTCAAGAAAAGACTGGACTGCTATCTGTCAGAAATGGTGTAGGGTCTCCTGTTTGAGTGGGGGGTTGGACTAGAAGACATACAAGGTCCCTTCTAACTCTGTTAATCTGTTAACCATTTGTGACCTTCCCATCCAACTTCTTAATGATCATGTGATTCATGTTCTCCATAATGCAGCTGTTAAACAAGAACATGAGTCCTTAAGTAGAGTAAGGAATGCCTTCAGGATGAGGAAGGCCCTATGACTGATCCTAAATGCAAGACACTGCAGTGGCTGTAACTTGAAATGGGTCATAAGTAGCTTTGGGTGAGGAGGGGTCAGTCGTAACTTTGAACAGCTGTTAAGGGATTAGTTGTATCTCAAAGACTACCTGTAAACCTTGAGAGAGATACACAAACATATGCCATTTATTTTATAAACCCAGAATTTTCTCTTTAATGTGTGAATGTTCATTGGCATTCAAGATGTGTTTCCTTGCACCCTTCATAAATCTGCCATCGGCTAAAACTTCTCTTCAAAACATCACACTTAAGTTGTCTCCTGATGATATGAAAAACCAGATATACAGTCAAATCAATCAGCCCTGATGTAATGGAATAATCTACTTAAGTGGATTTAGCCAGGAGGTTTACAGGCTGAGAATCAGATTAATTGTAACATGAAAGGCTAGATTATAATGATTTTTGGGAGCTAAAATTGGCATTAGCAATCCATTTGTAGAATCTATTGTTTGCTATGACAGGAACACCTTTTGGATATTTTCTTTTCTTGAAATTAACTTCAGGAGTCAGAAAATATATATATATTTCTTCTACATGTTTGTTTCTTTAAAAAATCCTTTCCTCATGTTTGGAGTAAAGTATGATTGGCTGGTGATCAGAGGTGATATTCTGCTGGTTCGTCCCAGTTTGGGTGGACTGGTAGTGGCGGTGGCCGGAGGCTCCGCCCACCTGCACAGACGTCATCACGGATTCTCTGTGCATGCGCAGAAGTTCCTGCACATGCCCAGAACCACTGTATGAGCACTCCCAGTTCCGAACTGGTAGCAAAGATAAGAGGAAACCATTACTGCTGGTGATGTGCCATGCGAGGATCAACTCCTAGTATCATAGATAGTATGGAGGAAATTATCTCTTAGATGAGTAATATTGATTACATCAAGTTGATGTCTAGATATATAAAACCAAAATTTGTTATCTTATTAGAACAACCCCATAGATTTGCAACGAGATCTGTTTTCTTCTTGCTCCTGGCATTCCCTTAACTGCCTTGCCTCTTGAGTTATGGGATATATTTTCCTTCCTGTTTTATTATTCTGTTGTTTTATTCATCCCTTTTGGTTTCTGAACAAAAACAGGCACAGGAATAACCAGTGCGCCGTTACCTTCAGTATACTGACTTCAGACGGTTTACCTATGAATATAAATGCTTCTGTTGTCTCCTGTCGACTGCCAGCAGAGCTAGCAGCAGACTCAGACAAGGAGGAGGGGGAACCTGGGCCGGCTATGGAGGTTTTAGAAGGCTCTGCTGAGGAAGCACGATC